CGGCTTCTTGTTCCCATCCGTTGGAAAGCTTTCCCCGTCCTTCTTCCTAAATCTGCTGCATACAGGCCTTTTCTAAGACACTTTTATGTCTATGATAAGCCTCTGATCTCTTATTCTACAAGTCATTCATTTACTAAGTACTTATTGAGTGGTAACTATACACCGGGCACTGTTCTAGGCGTGAACAAAACAGTTGCAAATACTTGCCCTTCTGGGACTTACCTTCTGGTGAGTCTAGCACTCGTGTCCACAATTCTGCTAAGATCATCTACCCTTGTCCCCTAATGGGTGGCCACGAGATGGAGCCCCCGAAGACCAACACCAAACCCCCTTGCCTGGGTCTTCTTTACCAACCTAACCCTCCCTTATCCACCTGGCCCTGCCAAGCCACAAAGGTCTCCAATCCTATTTTTCATTCCCAGGCCTTTGTGCTTGCTGTCCCTTAGCCCTGAATACTCTTCTCTTTTTTTTCCTCTGGTTCATTCTCCTCTTTTGGGTCTCTGCTTGGGCAACACTTCCTTTATGGCCCCCTCTGAGCCCCAGGGTAGGGTCAGGAGCCCTTCTGCGTGCTCCTAAGGGGTCCTGTGACCATCTCTATGATACTACTATCCATGCTGTATGATAAAAGCCTTCTTCCTTGTCCTACTTCCCTTTGAGACCAGAAGTTCCTGGGGGACTTCCCTGGTGGTCCAGTGGTTAAGAACCTGCCTGCCAACGGAAAGGACACGGGTTTGATCCCTGGTCTGGGAATATCCCAAGTGCCATGGAGCAACTAAGCCTGTACACCACTACTACTGAGCCTGAGCTCTAGAGCCCAAGAGCAGCAACTACCAAGCCCAGGAGCTGTAACTACTGAAGCCCGTGTGCCCTAGAGCCCGTACTCTGCAACAAGAGAAGCCACCACAATGAGAAGGCCACAACAAACAGTAGCCCCCACTCGCAGCAACTAGAGAAAGCCCACACAGCAACAAAGACCCAGCACAGCCAAAAAGGAATAAATAAATAAAACAAATCTAAAAAAAAAAAAGAAGTAGTTCCCGGAGAGCTAGGCTATGTCTTTTCATCACTGTACCCCCAGTGCTCAAAACATGGCTGTTGAATGAATGAACAAATCAAGGTAGGACAAGGTAGGAAACGGCAAGACAGGGCACAGCTGGGTGCCCGGGGTCCTCCACACCCCCCCAACCTTCTCTCAGACCCACCTGCCTCATGAGCTCAGGGTTGTTGAGCATGTGACTGATCTCAGGGTTCCGCTCCATCAGCTGCTGCATCTGGGGGTTGGCCATGATCATATGGCGCATCAGGTCAGGGTTAGACATCATGTCCTGGACCAGGGGGTTCTCCATGATCTGCGACAGCATCTCAGGATTGGACATCAGCTGCCTCTGCATCTGCTGCTGCAGCTCCATGAAGTTGGCAGAGCCCAAGCCCAGGCTGCCCAAGCCCAGGATGCCCCCAAAGCCAGCTGTGGGGGAGGGAAGCGGGGTCACACTTTGTCCCGACTTTTCTACCTGGCCAGAGCCACTGAAATCAAGTCACCAGGATGGGCCCTTTCTGCTGCTCACATCTCTCTTTCCCCATCATTTCCACAGCCCCAGTCCTGATCTGTTGCTGGCAGAGAGATGGGAGCCTACTAGGCCGAGACCTCTTTGGTGGCCAAGGCTGACAGGCAGGCATGGTGCTGAGCACAGAGAGGCAATCAGCGACAGCCTCCTGAATGAGCAAATAAATACTCTCCAACTGGCTACTGTTGGACCCACCTTTTCCCCAAACTCCAATACCCGCTCCCAGGGTTTCCTACATCCCCAGCCCCATTTCTCCCTTCACTCTTAACATTTCACCACTCTCCCCTCTTCTGGGAAGCCCTCACAGATTGGTTTCCTCCCCAACTTGGCTCAAGCACCAGTGTCTGGAACCCTATGTTCAGGGGCCCCAATCCCCATCAGATCAGGAGCGGGGATCAATATTTCCCTCTTCTTGGCCTCTCTCCCACTCTACAGACTCTAACCGTGTGGCGCCTTCCTCCCTAAAGGCTTACAGAGTATGGATGCAGTGGCACTGGGAGGTCCCTCCCCAGTCCCTGGGGAGGTACCCCCTCCACTGCTCCTTCGGCTTCCACTGCCTGTATCTGAAGTGGCACTTCCAGAAGTGGAGGGCTGGGCAGACGTGGCGGGTGAAGCAGGGGTGGTAGAGGGGGCTGAGGCTGGGTCTGGGGTGGAAGGGGAAGAAGCAGTGGCAGTCGCTGGATCTTGAACCCTGAGAAAGAAAGAAAAATCCTCATTGAAGTGGACACAAAAGGGAAGACTATGATTTCTACATGTGCTGTGCAGCTCCAGCCCTACACCACGCCACCTCCGAGGTAACCCTGAGGCTGGAGCAGGGTGACGCCGGGGGCAGTCAGGAAATCGGACAGAGGGAGAAAGGAGTCAGCATCCTCTATCTCCAGGTCACTTAGGGCGAGGTAAGTCAGGTTCCCTGGCCCTGCAGATCCGATCACGGGGCCTTCTGGCAGCCCGTCGAAGAGCCACCTTCCTGGGTCTTGGCATTCCACGGACCTTCCACAGATGTATGCTTGAATCATGGGCGAGAAAGTGTCAGATGGGGAAAAACAAAGAAAGCCCAATCTGAAGCTGGACCTGCTCCTCTCCTGAACTTACTTCTGAGGGGTCTTGATGACCAGATGAACAGTGAGCCCATCCTTGATCCCATGCTGGTTCAGTGTGTCCCCATCCTTGAGGATCTTGCCTGCGAAGATCAGGACCAGCTGATCCTGCTGTGCCTTAAATCTCCGGGAGATTTCCTCTTTAAACTGTGATCAAGAGGCAAAGGTCACTATGGAGGCTGCTTGGGCTCCACCAACCAGGGACCCTGCCTCTCCTTCAAAGCTTCTGCATTCCCTTGCTCCCACCTCTAGTCGTGGGAAGTACTTTCAGCAGTCTTGACTCCATCCCTCCAGCTGAAATTAGGCGGCTCCTTTCTTAACCAAGGGAGCTGGACCAGTGTGGGGCTCCTCTCAGCACTACTCCAGGGCCTCTCACCCTCCCAAGCCCTGCTTTTATCTGCCACTCCCTCTTCAGTCCCAAGTTCCCCCTGAGAGTACCACCTAGGCAGTTCTCTCCAGAAACTCCTTGGCCCAACCCTGTCTCCCTTCAGCCTGTCTCCCCAGACTTCAAGTCTCTTTTCTCTCTTTATTCCCAGTTTTCTTGTAACAACTACAACAAATAAGTCCCAGTTATTTATAACAGCACTAACTATACATGTTAATTATTACCTCCATTTCAGAGACCAGAAAACTGAGGATTCGAGAAGTTAGATAACTGGCCCTGGACAAACTGGAACTCAGGTCTTGACATCAAAGCCCAGGCTCCTCTTAACCAAACACATGGTGCGGGGTGGGGGTGGGGGGAAGCTCTCAATTAGAGCTGATTTCAAATTCAGCTTTGCAGGCAAAAATTATTTAAATTATGGAATGTGATCATTTTATAAGGTCGGGGGGAGGGGCAATGATGGCAATAAAGGCTGGCTGGGGAGAGTTAGACTCCCCAAACCTATCACACACACCGTCCCCGCCCTCCATCAACCCAAGCAAATCAAACACATACTCTAAGTAGAGGGTGCACTTGCTAAGCTAAGGCAGCTTCCAGACCCCTCCCTTCCAACCAGACGCCTATCTTAAGCCCCGCCTCTGTGAAATTCGGGAGCAGCCACAGGGGGGTGGTGAACACAGGCAATATTCCCTCATTCACTCATTCACCACATTTTACTAAGCACCTACTGCACACTGTGTAAATCCCAGAGGGGCTGAGAATCAAAAGTATCCACTTTAATTTGAAAGAGTAGGAAAGATCCGGGCAGAGGGAAATCCTCCCCGCACAGACCAGGCGTCAGAATTCTGGGCGTTCTCTGAGGCGCCCAGTAGGCGCCCAGAGTTCCCCCCGACCTGCGCCCCGCCGCCCGCTCTCCGGGCTCAGCACCTGGCCCGGCCCCCACTCTGCCTCTGCGCCTCGAACCCCGACCAGTAACCGGGGCCAACACTCCCCTCAAACCTAGGGTCCTCCCCGCTTCCCAGTGCAAGGTGTCCTCTTCCCACTCTCCACCACGCCCCCAGCTCAGGCCACAAGGCAAACCCCGGCCTCCCTTCCCCAACACGCGCCGCGATCCCCCAGATCACCCTCGCAGGGTGCCCCCTACCCCCCTGCCCTTCCCTCCCGCTCCTCCGAGTGCCTGAGGGCCCCCCGCCCTCCATTCCCCGGTCCTCCCACACGCCCGACGGTCTCAGAGCCACCCGCCTCTTCGCAGACCCCTCCTCCGCGCTCACCCCCACCCTCGCCACCCGTACTACCTCTTTGACCGAGGCTCGGTCGCAGATCACAATTTCCTCCTTGTCCTTGGGGGTCTTGACGGTGACCCGAATGGGGGGCCTCGTCTCGGCCCCGCTCGGCTCCGCCATGCCACCGCCGCCACCCGGCCGCCCGCCAGCCCGCCCCGGCTCCTCCTCCTCCTCCCCGCCCGCCCGGCCTGCCGGGCTCGGCTCCGGCGCCTCCAACACTGCCCTGTCCCCTCCCCTCCCCAAGGCTTCACCGCCCCCTCCGGACCCGCCACGGCCACAGCGCCCCGGGCGGACTGGGGGGGCCACTGCAGCGGGGTCCGCCCAGGGCCGAGCCCGGGGTCCGGCTGCTTGGACCGGGCCTCGCCGGGCTGCGGCCCCCGGAGGGGTTCGGGGCGGGGGCGGGGCGTGTCCGTCACTGTGGGGCGGGGACCGAACTGCCCGCGAGAGACCACAACCCGATGCAGCCCGCCGGAGCTGAGCCGAGGTGCCCCCTGGGCCCAAAGCTGCCCCCGCCCCTCCGCGGGTAACTCCAGCTTCGGGACAAAGGACTTTCTGTGTCGCCGCTTTATCTCCGTTCCCTGTGATAACTGGCCTTTCTCCGGAAGCCCAAATCCTTTCCAGGCCTGAGACCTATCCCGACTTTCAGGTTGAATTTTTTTACTTCTGGATGTCCACCTAAAACCTCGTCTCTGGGACTGACTTTATTTCCCTGCGAGTAGTGGCTTGAACGAAGTCTACAAAGTACAGTTCCAGAGACCTCAATTTTGCCTGCGCGGCCTTTCTGAACCTTGGTTTCCTCAATAGTTTCTCTCGCCTCATCTCACCTAACTGTATAATGTAGAAAACTGCTTTGAAAAGTAACCAAAGGTGTGCCTGAAAAATATAGGGATTTTACTTTCTTTTTAATTACTGAATCGTGACTTGTCATGCGGATATGACTTTCCTCTGCCCGAGGGGATTAAATGTCCTTCCAATAACTGCCACTGTCCTTTCACTCCCGCTCTTTTCCCGCATAACCGCGTGGTCGCACTGGAAAGGCGAACTATAGTTCCCAGGGTGCCTCGCGAAGCCGCGGAGAACTACAATTCCCAGCGTTCACCGCTGTGGGGCGGGGTGGAGTCGGAACCACAAAATCAGGCCCGGAAACTACAACTCCCAGAGCGTTCCGGAGCAAGGCAGCTGGACTACGGAAAGCGACGGGCGGAGGCCAGCAATAGGAAACTCTGGGTTCTGGGTGCAAAAACCCAGGGTTAGGAGCTTCAGGCATGCTGCGTCCCAAGGCTTTGACCCAGGTGCTAAGCCAGGCCAACACTGGAGGTGTTCAGAGCACCCTGTGAGTGCGGACCGAGAAGCCGGGTGGCGAGCACTGGCGTGGGGCCGCGCGCGACTCTCCGAGGGAGGGCTGGGGAAGGCTCTCTGGGAAGGGAGGAGGTGGCAGCAACTTGGTGAAAATGACGGAGAGCCCCTCTTGAAAAGGAAACCGACGTGCTGCGTGCTCTGGGCACGTCCCAGGACACACTCAGTCCCAGTGGCGGGAATTGGGATGGGTACCGAGGAGTTTGACTCCCTCTTGAGCACGTTGATATCCCTTCTGATTCTTCACCAGGCTGCTGAATAACGAGGGATCTCTGTTGGCCTACTCCGGCTATGGGGATACAGACGCCCGGGTCACCGCGGCCATCGCCAGTAACATCTGGGCGGCCTACGACCGGAATGGAAACCAAGCGTTTAATGAAGACAATCTCAAATTCATCCTCATGGACTGCATGGTATGAAGAAGGGATCCATTCCTCTGACCCTAAGGGGATCCCAAAGGGCAACCTGGATCCCATCCTGGATGGTTTAGAGGTCCAGGGACAGGATGTCTGGAAGACAGTACTAAGAGTTGGTCTGCAACAGCATTTATGATAGGCAGGACCCTATGTATTGATGAGAAAGGAGTCCTCGAACCGAGGTCTGGCCGGGGTTCTGGTTTTAGCACTGGTGAAACGTTGGGTAAGTGATTTAACCTCTTTGAGCTTTCTGACCACACCTCCAAGGTGAAAACAATCCCCGCCACCACACCATGCACACAGGGTTATTCTGATCAAAGGAGAGGGTGAATATAAACTGTAGAGCCATGTGCAGACACAAAGTGTTGTCATCTGAGATTAACAGACCCAGAAGCATGGCAGAGTCTCTAGACCCTGCTGTCCATTCACTTTACAGAGAAAGGTCATGAAGTCCAGAAAGGGGAAGTAGCTATTAGACTGTGAACTTCTTGGAAACAGAAACTGGCTCATACATCTTTATATCTGTCCAGTCAACATATTTTTAGGTCCCTGCAATGTTCTCAGGTCTTGGGGAAAAGTAGGAAACAGGACAGACAAAAGCTGCCACCCTAATGAAGCTTACAGTCTTACATATGAACTTACTGTAAAATAAGTTCATGAATATGTTTTGTAACATATCTATGTAAGTTTAAAAAGTAGTATGTTAGGTATTGAAAATGCTAGGGGAGGACTTCCCTGGTGATCCCATGGTTGGGACCTGGTGCTTTCACTGCAGGGGCCCCCGGGTTTGACCCCTGGTCAGGGAACAAAGATCCTGCAAGCCATGTGATGTTACCAAAAAAATAAAATAAAATAATGTAAAAATTAGAAGAAGATGCTATCGAGAAAAAGCAAGGATGTAAGATAGGATGTGTGTATCAGGGACAACGTCACTGAAAAGGTGACACCTCATCAAAGATCCATCTAAAGGAAGCTGGTAAGCCATGTGGCTATCTGGGTTAAGAACATTTCTGATAGAACAGTAAATGCAAGGGCCCTGAGGCAGAATGATGTCTGGTCATAGATAACAAGGTTGAAGTGGCTAGAGTAGCATGAGAATGGGAGAGGTTAGTAGATGATGCCAGAGAGGCAGAGGGTGCAACACCTGATTCCAAGCACAGGGTGGATACTTAGTGAAAATTTGCTGAACCAAATTGAAAAGGCCCCAAGAGTGAATTCTCCTGGAAGGATTTCCACTGCAACTCAGCCACCTACCTCTTCCTGACTCCCTCCTTAACCACAGATGCCAGTTCAACTGATGATTCTTAGGGTCCCTAGCCTAGAGCTAGTGCCATAAGCACAATAGCTTTCAAATGTCTTGACCACAACCCAGCCATAAGAAATATATTTTCAGTCAGAGTCTAGTAAAACAAAAGTTTCATTAAATAGTACTTCCTTTGCTGTATGCAATATACTTTATTTCTCTCTTAATGCTGATCAACCTTCTTAATTGATCTGGGGCTAGTTAGCCCTGGGCCAAACCTACAGTTTGAAAAATATTACCTTGGGAAACGAGAACTATAAGTTGAGTTGTGGTCTCCCCTTACAGTATCATTGGGGGTGAAACCATATTAATAACATCACCCATCTGGACAGCCCTTTGTAGACACCGGACTCCTTTCTATGTATTAGCATCCTCACCAGCTGGAGAGAGGTAGGGATTACAGAAAGAGAAACAAAGTTTCTGGGAGGTGGAGTTTTCTTGGGTAACTGGGTTAGTAGGTGACTGTGCTGAGGCTGAAATGGGCTCAGGACTTAAGGTTCAGGGCTGTGGCTAAAGTCCCCCAGTGGAAGCTCCTGTCCTGCCTGAGGCATGAAAGGAAGATACAGACCATCTCAAGAGGAGCCCTTGGGGAAAGAAGGGGCGAAGGGTGCAAGCAGATATCACATCCCCTGATATCACCCCCACCAGGAGGGCCGTGTAGCCATCACGAGAGTGGCCAACCTTCTACTGTGCATGTATGCCAAGGAGACCGTTGGCTTCGGAATGCTCAAGGCCAAGGTGTGTATGTGCCCATTCTTGTACAACCCTGGGCTCAGCCTTCATGCTCCATCACTGTATCCACTCCCATCCCCACCATCTTCCCAGAGTCTTTCTCATGTCACCCAGTCAGCATCTGGGGTGGGCCCACAGGCAGCAGCTGGGGGCTGGGGGCTCAGCGGTAGGAGTAGACCTGAATTTAAGATCCCTCGAGTGGCAGGCCTTGTGGGACTGGATTCTTCTCCCTTTCCCACAGGCCCAGGCCTTGGTGCAGTATTTGGAGGAGCCTCTCACCCAAGTAGCAGCATCATAATGGGTGCTGGTGGAACCTGGGATTCAGAAGAGTGAGATGACCATGTGGTGGGGCAGGGCTCCCTGGGGAAACCTTCCTGGACTGTTGCAGGGGGTTGGAGTGGGGGGACTTTGTTCTTCCCAAGAATAAACTTCAACTGCTGTCTCGTGTCTTGGCTGTTTTCTTGGATGGGGGGAATCAGAGGAGAGAGGAAGGAGCCGGGGTTGTGCATCATGTTCTTCACGTTCAGCTAGAATGAACAAGGGGCTGGTAGGGGTCATGTTGGATGAAGAAAGAACAGGCTGTGGGAGTTTAGTGTCCTTCAGTTCCAACTTTGGGGGCCCCCTTTTCTACTCTTGGGATTGGGAGTGTGCCCCCTAGTGGCCTACAAGGGCCACCCCTTCCCTCTTTGGGCATTCACAAGCTTACGCAGACCCCTCTCCAGATCAGGAAGTCCTTTGCACACAATGTATCTGCCCTGGTCCTGGGGAAAGAGTAGAAAAAATTAAGAAGTCCTGGCCCAACAGTCAGACCCATCCCTGCACCTGGCTGTTTCTGCCCCAGGTCTCCCCCTATCCGGTGTCCTTAGAGCAAGGCTGGATCTTTCCCAGTGCTGTAGGAAGGGACTCATCCCAGGGAAGCTGGTAGGTTGCAAGGCCCAGCTCCACCCAGGTTGAGAAACCGCCCAACCCACGTCCTGGGCTGTCAGGGAGGGGCAGAAGTTGCTGCATCCAAGATGCCCCTCCCAGAGCTCTGCCCTGCGGTGGGGTGACCCCAGCCCTTCCCCCCACAGCCCTTCCTCTGGTGCCCCCAGTTACCTGTCCTACTAGGCTCCAAGGACTAGCAGAAAGCTGTGTAGTTTCTTGCTCCCTGAGGGACAATTTCTCACTCACTAGTGGCCGGGCCCCCCCAGCCACAGGTCCCAGGAGCCTAGCAACGCACACTAGCCCTCAGCTGGCTCTCTGAAGGTCCTGTCCCTGTCCTAGCTGCGCCCGATGTCGCTCCCTTGAGCCTGCTGCCTGCTTGCCAGAGCCCAGGCTGAGAGCAGACACCCAACCTGTCTAACCTGTCTGACGTCATCATCTCCACCCACCTGAGCTCTCTGTCTCCAGCCGCTCACTCTTCCTGTTCTCAGCTTCCGTCCTCTCCGATTCCTAACAGCTCTGCCACCTGCCAGAACTGAGGCTCCCTAGGCCCTGGCTAGCCTAAAGCCGGCCCTTGATCCCTCTCACTGCAGAAGTCTCTACTCTCAATGAGAGGAAGGGCGGATCCAGGTGTCTTGAGAGCTGAGGGTTGAGGGCATTGAGCCAACGCGTAGACCCTTCACCTCTGCCCTCGAAGACACTTGTGCCCTCCATGCGGAGCCAAGATGGGGAACAGAGCCGAGGAAGATTATAACTTTGTCTTCAAGGGTGAGTCTGGGGTCCATAAGGAAAGAGGAACACCTGAGAGACCCAGGAAGAGAACAACAGAGCCAGAGGGCTCCTTCCTGTTTTTGAATCAATTAGCAGGGCCCCCTCCCAGAGCTCATCATTCCTTCAGATCCCGAAAGAAAGCTTAAGGAGTGGGGGAGGGTCTGTTTACCGGAGCAAAAGTCCTGGAGCTGCCAGAATGCTCTAGGGAAGTAAATAATGTTGATCACTCCTTAATGGTGCAAGTCAGGCTCTTCTGCCCCATTCCTAGTGGAAGCCCCAGTCCCTAGGAAGAGTTAGCCACTGCAGCACTAGCAATGGAGGTGAGACTTCAGAGAGGATTCCCTCCTGAGAAGGAGGGACAAGCAGACTTAAGAGGGAGAAAGTCACCTTTCTGGGCAGCTGTACAGGAAAGCAGAAATGGGAAGATCTATACCATCACAGGGCTGGAGGAAGACACAGGGAAGATATTATGAATCGGGACCAGGGTCTAATAGAATCTGGAGAACTCCCAGCACTGTAGCCTTGTTGGTCTGTCCCTTGGCAGAGCCCCTGGGCTCAAATACCAGGAACTGGGTTTAACCAGGCTATCCCTGGAAGTTTGCATGTATCTTTCCAGCTCCTTTATCTCGCCCCTGTGTTTAGCCAGTCTAGCGTTCCCTACCCCCACCTCCGCACCTCCTTCAGGGCAGGGTGGACTGGCAGCGCTGATTCCCTGTCCAGCCACTCCACCCTCCCAGCCTCAGCCCTGCCCTCACTTGAGCTGGGACTCTCAGGAGACCAGGACTTGGGAAACCTGTACTCCCAGCATTTTTCCCAGGAAGGGAGACAGGGTGAGGGGTCACAGTACACTGGGGCAATACTGAGTTCAGATCTCAGCCCCGCCACTTACGAGTTATTGCAATTTAGGGTCACTAGAAGCAGACCCGGAGACATTTGGGGTGTGAGCTGTTTATTGTGGCTCAACAGCAGTGAAAGGAAGAGGGAGGATACAGGATCGGGCAGAGGGAGAAGTCGCACTGCAAGGCCTCGACCAAGGGCGAGCGGCTCTGGGTTTCCCCTGTCCTTGCCAGGGCACTGGGTGTGGCTGCCATGGAAAGGCATGAGCCTGGGTGAGGCACCTCGACATCAGAAGCAGATGCTGAGGGAGCAACAGCTGCAGGCTGGGTGCTGCCTGCACTCCCTGCAGCAGGGGGCAAGTCCTCCCTGGAAGGCCCCTGTGGGCAGCACAGCTCCCGCTTACCACGCTGGCTGCGTTACCTTGTGCAAGTCATTGAACGCACGCCCCCTGTAAACGGGTGAGTCTAACAGTGGTACTTGCCTTGTGGCATTGTTGTGAGGACTAAATGAGTTCAGACGTTCAGGAGGGTACCAGGCATACTGTAGGTGCTCAATAAACGTGAACCATTAGTATCTCCATTTTTCAGAGGAAGATGAGACACAGAACAAGGGTCGCCCAGTCAGTACTCAACCCAAGTCTGTTTGACTCCAAAGCCCTGGCTCAGAGTCCACCTAGTGGGAGGGATGAGATGGGGATGCGGTTCCCAATAGCACACACACACACACACTCATGTGCATAAATCCTCTTACCTATACACATCCATACAGCTCCCAGCTCTTCCCTACCCTACACAAATAAGGAATTTTTGAAGTCGGAGTGAGTTTTGTAGGTTTTATAAACAGGGAAACTGGGACCCAGAAAAGATGAGCCACTTGTTCAGGGTCACATAGCTAGTCAGAGGTTGAGTGGGGACCAGTGCCCAGATTATGCAGTGCCCAGTCCTGATGCACCAGCCTGCCTTTCCAGAACCACCCTGGGTAGCTCTGGGCCAGTGGATTATGGGTTATATTTAACATCAGCCCCTACATTTTAATGCCAGCCCCTAGCTCACTCACAGCAGCAGCAGCAGCTCACTCACAGTGCGTAAGGCTGGGCCCTGGATCCCGCCCTTCAACCCAAAGGATCTTCATGGCCCCTCCGGTGTATCCTTGTCTGTGAAAACCTAAAGATAAAAGCACCAGCCTACCAACAACAATGGGCTTCCCAGGCGGCTCGGTGGGTAAAGAATCCACCTGCAATGTAGGAGACACAGGAGACCCAGGTTCTATCCTTGGGTCAGGAAGACCCCCTGGAGGAGGGCATGGCTACCCACTCTAGTATTCTTGCCTGGAGAATCCCATGGACAGAGGAGCCTGGCAAGGTACAGTCCATGGGGTCACAAAGACTGAGTGACGAACGCTTTCACTTTTCACCAACAACAATAATAACAGTAACAGTTTTGCACACTCACTATATCCAGGGCAATATCTTGTTTACTTCTTGCAACTACTCATAGATAAAATTATTATTCCCATTTTTTTCATAAGAAAGAGAATAGTACGTTGCTGAAGGCATGCATAACTGGTCCCACATCCAGTTCCATGGTCTTAAGCATACAAGACTGCCCTTCTTAGGGATAACGGGATCCTAATTTCTTGCACACATACCCCCATACATTTCCCCCACCCCCAGATGTGTCAGCTGCCAAACTTTCTCCTCACCCATATTGCTATTCCCACCTCTGCTCCCCTCATAAACACACACAAACTGCCCACCTCTCCTTCCAGCTTGTATACATAGAAACACGCACATGTTCTCATGTTCTCTTGCCCAGAAATGTGCACCCTCCCCACAGACCCCCTACCCTCCCTGTTACCTCACAACCCTTGAACGCCACTATCCACAAACAGCCCATAGACATCACTCTCTCACCAAATTCATGGGCTGATTCTGCCGCAATGTTGCAACAGGCCAGGCCTAGAACACTCGAAGCCCCGCAGCCTGCTTCAGGCTCTCATCCCTTCTGCCCCAGGGTGGGTGCATCATGTAGAGCTGGAGACCCTTGTCTCTGCCAGGTTTCCTGTGGCGCTGATAGTAAAGAACCCACCTGCCAATGCAGGAGACTTAAGAGACGCAGGTTAGATCCCTGGATCAGGAAGATCCCCTGGAGGAGGACATGGCAACCCACTCCAATACTCTTGCCTGGAGAATCCCATGGACAGAGGAGCCTGGCGGTCTACAGCCCATGGGGTCGCAAAGAGTAGGACGCGACTGGGCATGCATGCATGGCTCTGCCAGGAGGCCTGACCCCCTCCTCAGTTTTCTGAGCTACTCGTCTTTTCTGATGGGCAGACCCTCCAAGTTCAGTCCTTATCTCTCCACCCCTTCAGTGGTGCTGATCGGCGAGTCAGGAGTGGGGAAGACCAACCTGCTGTCCCGATTCACTCGCAATGAGTTCAGCCACGACAGCCGCACCACCATCGGGGTTGAGTTCTCCACCCGCACTGTCATGCTGGGCACCGCTGCTATCAAGGCCCAGATCTGGGACACGGCTGGCCTGGAGCGGTACCGAGCCATCACGTCGGCGTGAGCCCCGGGCTGGGGGTGTACTGGGGTGCTGGGGAAGTCAGGGTATACCACTGGAGAAGTGGAGGAAGAGGAGGCAAGGAGACTCAGCAGGGAGTTCACTGAATGGGACCGCGGGGCTTGGGTGAGAAGACACAAGTACTCTGAGCTACGAACAGTCTGAGACAGGAAGCAATGATACTGACTGCTGGGACTGAAAACAAGAGTCATCACCACCACTTACTTGTTTTTACTATGTGCCAGGGAAGGTAGAAGACACTTTACATTGGGCATTTTATGTACTCCTCCAAATGCCACAGGAATAAGGTGCTATCATTAATCCCTCCCAAGATATAAGAAGTTTGTGTTTCAAGCAGGTGAGATTGGGGTGCAGCTGTGATGGGGACATACTCTAGGATCAAGAGTACCCGCCCTCACTTCTGCAGTGCTTTGCACTTGGCAACCCTCACTATCTAACTGCAAGGTGAAAGGCTGGACCCCATAACCACATTTTACAAACCTCAGAGGACACAGAGGAACATAAGCCTCTTGATACTGGGCACAGAGCGTCTCCCAGGCAGTGTCAGCCAAAGGTGGTGTGTGTGCTTGTGCATGTGTGTGTGGGGGGGCAGACCTGCAAGGGGGCAGGAAGCAGGAGTTGGGGGCTTTGTGGCTTTGTTTATACATATTCATCACTCTTGGACTGGTCTCTTGACTCTTACAAGCCTCAGCTGACTGATCGATACAATGGGAATAACTTTATACCACCAGTCTGAAGAAGCGCTATCAGACTTCCAAGAGTGAGACTGGATGCTTAGTAAGGGTGCCTCCGATGATCGGGGAGATTCAGCTAGTTCTAGAACGATGGCCATGAGAGAGAAGCGCTGGGGGTCAAAGAGCTATGTGAGGGACATTTGGGGTGTTGGGCATCCAGGAAGCTAGTTTGACCAGAGCCCTGGTATACATCTGTGGATAGCTGTGGCTAACATCAGAAAAAAGACCAGAGGCCGCAGAGGGGTTAGGAGGGAGGAGGGAGCCAGTGGTTTTGGAGAAGGGAGGTGAGTCTTCACAGACTCCAAGACCAGTATCCTTGGAGGGCGTTCAGCATCAGACATGGGAGCTCTGGGCTGCCCTGTGTGGTTTGGGTCTCTGGACTGTAATCTTCGTATTTCCCTGTCTCTGGTGCTCATCTCTGGCCTTTGGCCTAAGAGCTCTGCTCTGAGGTTGGGCTTGATGGCCCTGACCTTGTCTCTGTCCACTCACCGACCCCCTACCCAGGTACTATCGTGGTGCTGTGGGAGCCCTCCTGGTGTTTGACCTAACCAAGCACCAGACTTACGCCGTGGTGGAGCGCTGGCTGAAGGAGCTCTACGACCACGCCGAGGCCACAATCGTCGTCATGCTTGTTGGTAACAAAAGTGACCTCAGCCAGTCCCGGGAGGTGCCCACTGAGGAAGCCCGCATGTTTGCTGGTGAGAGCCCACCACATCCCAGCCTGGCCCCTCCGGCTGCTCTGCAGTGTAATCCCAGCCCCTGCTCCCACTGTGGGGCTCGGGCCTGCACTTCCTGCCCAGGGTCCCCCTACCTCCATTCTGTCGGCCTCAGAATCTCCAAGCCCTTCCCCTCAGTGACCCTGTGTCCCTCGTTATGTCCCACCCCATTTGCCCTGTCTTTATGGGTAAGTATTCATAGTTGGTTTTAAGGCAGCCCACATTGCCACTCTGAGATCCTGAGTGTGGCAGATGGGCTTCCCTTGACTGTCTCCTGTCACACTCCCCAGGAACTTTCTGGGGTTTAGAGGCAGCAGGATACAGTGGTTAAGGGTGTAGGCTGTGGGGGTCCCATGGCCTAGCCCACGTCTCTTGGTGAGTGACTAGATGTGGGACACAAAGCAAGTTCTTTGTTCGTTCTCTCTGTTTTTGGGCTACAGTTTCCTCTTCTAAAAGAAAGGAATGGTATTCCAACCTACCTTCCAGTTTGTTTTAAAGTTTAAATGAGCTACACATGCCAAGGGTTTAGCGTGTAACGAACGTGCATGGTAAAACGTGAAGTAAATATTATTGTCTTGACCCTTCACAACTAATGGTGTGTTTCCTTTCTGTCAGAAAACAATGGGCTGCTCTTCTTGGAGACCTCGGCCCTGGACTCCACCAATGTTGAGCTGGCCTTTGAAACTGTCCTCAAAGGTAGAGTCCCTGCCTCCATTCAGCAGGCACCGCCATCCCACCCCTGAGGCTTCCGCGGGCAGTGGGAGGAACGCAGACACCCAGCCCTCGCCCGCGCCAGCCGATTCCTCATCCCCTCTGTGGGCCCCCCCAGCCTCCTCAGAGCCTCCCTCATACACCCCCACCCCGGTCAGCTGGAGCTTAGGGAAAGAACCAGGAGGCCACACTCCCAGGGAGCTGAGTCCTAGTCCCACTCCGCCCACGTAAGTAGACGGGACCCAGGTGCCCAAACTCCTTCCTTCCAGCAAAACCCCCAGTGTTCAGAAAGGGGCACGCAGAGTGTGTATGGGGAGGGTGGGCTCCTAATCTTTATCTGACCCGATCACCGCCCTCTGCCCTCACAGAGATCTTCGCCAAGGTGTCCAAGCAGAAGCAGAACAACACCCGGACCAATGCCGTCACCCTGGGCAGTGGCCCGGCTGGGCAGGAGCTGGGTCCTGGGGAGAAGAGGGCCTGTTGCATCAGCCTCTGACCTGCCCCCACTGTGTTCCGGCACCCCCTCAGCCCTGCCCAGCTCTAGGAGCTTTCTCTGCCCTGTTGGTCCAGATGTCAGAGTGGCCAGTCCCTGTTCACAGCCCTGCAGAGCTCTAAGGTCTTCATGTGGCCCTCCCCACCCCCAGACCTCTATTATCGAAAAGCTGTGTTTTATATCAAGCCTGACCATCCTGCTGCCTCCCCTGCATCTCTGGGCCCTCCTCTGAGTCCTTCTTCCCCTTCCCCTCCCCTCATCCTCCCCACCATATTCACTGCCCCCCAGGGCCAGCTGTCTCTGGAGTCTTGTGGTCTGGGGACAGTGCCAAGGGGGTGGGAGGTGCCCGCCCTTCCCTCTGCCAACCCCCAGGGCAGGTGGAAGAGGGAGGACAGCATGGCAGAGAGGGGGTATCTGGAAGGAGAGACAAAGGAAACCATCAGCGGGTACCATCTGGTGCCCTGGGCCCTGGTGCCAAGAGCTGAGGTCACTCCAATGCCAGGGGTGAGGGGAGGAGGCAGGGGGAGATGTTTAAGAAAAGGGGGAGTCAGGGCCAGCCCAGTCTGTGTGTGCTGGGAAGGGATTTTAAGCCTGGGAGGTGGAAGGCCTGTCTTCCATCCAGGTTTCTGCTTGACCCTGAAGAGAAGATGTGGTGTGTAGGGATGGGTTGAATCTGGTGCGGATGGATGGGAGGGTCGAGCTCTCAGCTCTGCCCTTTCTCCATCAAGTTCAGAAGCTGGCTTTCCAGGCAAGGTCTAGGTGGACCTGCCTGGCCTTCCCCTGTTCTGCAAGGCAGGGTCGAATGAGGTCTCCTGGTGCCCCAAGGATCAGAAGGAGGTAAATGGAGAGAAAAGAGGGGTTGAGTACTTGGAGACCCAAGTAGGGAGCTGTGGAGAGCAGATAGGAGCCATCCACTTCATGCAAGGTGAGCAAGGTCACCCGGAATGACATTAGAGAAAACCCCACTCACCCTACGGTGGTTCCCACCAACATGCCAAGAAAGCAGCCTGAGCCTTAAGTAATAATACTTTTAATAAAATTAAGTTCTTAATAGCACATTTAATACATTAACCCTCCCCCTTCTTGGTTTCTCTGCATTTTGTGCAACATCACTTTGACTTGATTATTCATGGGTCCGTTTTGTTTCCCGCCTTTATTTTGCTTTTGAAATGGTTTTCCTGGTGGACTTGTAACGTGTCTTCACTAGATGCCTCAAATTAAGTCTGACCACAATCCTACTCTACTTCTACAGTGGAGAGACCATTCCCCCTGCCCCAGGGCTGTCTCCCCCCACCCACCCTACCCCACCCGCACCCTCGAGCAGGGAAGAGGAAGCCCTCCCCAACCCAGACGCTACCTTCCCAAACTAGCGGGGTTCCTAGGACAAAAAGAGCAGGGGAAAAGTCTGTCCCTGGGTGGGGTGAGAAGAGTAAATTGGGGAGGAGATATGTTTGGGGTCTAGGGCCAGGGAGGGGCATGACAGAGTCATTAGGGTCATGGAACTTCTTGCCAAGAGTCAAGAGGCCTCTACACCCCCTTGGACAGGCGCGAGGGTGGGCGGACCAACCTGATTACAAGCTGGGGCTGGTAGAAGGCAAGTGCTTAAAAAATGAGTTGATTTCTCACAAGCAAAAGCCAAGCTCCCCAGCTTTCTGTGGGGAGGGTCAGGGTACAGCAGATGACCTCTACCTGAACTCTTACAGATGGCAGTCCACTAAAACAGATGGTTAGGGTAGGGGTCACCCAAAGTCCCTGCTGCACCCCCTGACTTTGTACCCTTCGGGGCCAGCTCTCCCAGGCCTTCAAGGACAGCGTCTCCATTCCACCCCAGTGGATGGCAAGTCCTTGGTATCTAAGAGATAATAAAGCACTTCTGCAAATTTGTAAAGCACAGTGCAGCTTCAAAGGAGACTGATTATTGAGATCATTCTTCTACCTGCTGCCATGGAGGTCAGAAGCTAAGTGAATATTGGGTAGGAATAAGAATGGGGGACAGATACCCTCCAGTCCCCTTGAAGCTCTGAGAAAGTAAGAAGTGTGTGCATGTGTCTGTTGGTGGAATGACCTACCAGGCTCTTGAATTAATCAGAGGTAGAGTGGATTGCAGTTATACTTCAGGAAGGACTTCCTCAGTTAAGCCTGGGAGAAGCTGTCCCTAGAGGGTTGAAGCTGGGCAGTCTTCCTCCTCTCAGAAAGCCCCAAGAGGACTTGTTTGGAATAAGGGCTGCCCAGAGACAGGGAGCCAACCATGCTTTCCCACCTCAGCTGTCCCTAGCCCAGCCCTCCTCTGGTTGAAATGATCAGTGTTCATGCTTTCAAAGACCCTGGGAACTAAGCCCCTCATCTATTTGTCCTATAATTTAAAAATCCAAGGATTCTTAGAATCAACCCCAGCAGACTGGAAGGAAGCTCCCAACCATAACTAGCAACCTGCTCCACCCTGATATCTGAAGATGGGGTGGGGGGGGGCTCAGGGTGGACTCAGCCACTTCCCTCCTCTATTTTCCTTTTCATTATGACTTTTATACATTCTACTGGACCCAGGGGCCCTCAATGCTACTAAACTTTAAGCTATCTGAATATCGTCTACTAAGTAACTAGTAATTCTTTCTCTTTGTCTCTAGGATTATATGAAATAAATTTGAATTATTATTATTATTAATTATTATTATTTTGTAGTATTCTTTTCTTTTAAACCCCTCGGTTTTTCTTCTCTCTCATTTTTGGTTAAAAAAAAAACAAACAAAAAACTATCTCTCTTAAATCTCACACCTCTCTGAGGGTTCCCATAGGCCTGCTAGGCCTCAGTTCTGGACTTCCCCACCTTACTTGCCCCTGGGACTGGACAGGGGAAGCGAGTGGGGGGACACCCCAGGATCCTCAGTCCTACTGCTTCTTCCTTTCTCCTTAATCCCTTTCTTTGTGTGGCTCTGCCAGCTCCCCCAAAGGGGAGGGGGAGAGGGAGGGGGAGCCATGGGGGTGAAATCCAATCTACTTGCAGGGCCCCAGAGGGACCAGGTTCCCCTAGCCCCTGTCTCCACAAGCCATCCCAGGATGCTCCCCCGGAAAAGCAAACATTCCTCCCCAAAAAAATGTGGGGGAAAAAAGGAACGTAAACCAGAACATATATTAAAAACACTTTTTTAAGATTTAACTCTGAATACAAATGTATTTTTTTTTCTTCTTCTCTCCCTACATATATTCTAAACCTTCTAAAGTTTTTTTATTTTTTTAAGGATCACTTTATCATAAAATAAAATATCCTTTTCATATAATAAATTACCTAATAAAAAGTCTTTTTTTTTCATATTAGCCCAGGTTCTTTGCTACATTTATACGGTAATAAATGCCTTTATTAAAATAGAATATTAAATTATAAAGAACTGCTTTTTTTTTTCTATTTTTGTTTTCTCTCCTGTGTTGGTTGCCTATCTCGCTCCCTCTCATGCTCTCTTTCTCTCCTCTATTTTGTCTCTCACTGTGTTTTGCGTTGGTTTCTAGGTTTGGCTCAATCAGGAAGAGTGGGATTGTATTTTCTGAGCCCCCTAGCGTAACAGTCTTCCGCCTTTGTGGGTAGGTGGAGGGGGGAGGGGACCGACAGACAGACATCCCATCTTCCCACCCCCCACCCCCCCTCGGCGACCGAGGGGTGCCCATTTGGTTTGGTTTCTAATGTACAGATATCTCAGGATGGCTCACATTGGCGGGAAGGAGGGAAGTTGTCACAGGCCAGTTTTCCTGGCTGTGACCTCCTTCCGCTCCCCTCCCTGGCTGGTGGTCTGGAGGGGAAGGCTGAGGAGAGGTGAGTTAATTCACAACAGGAGGAAGGAGAGGAGGAAATCCCCTCTGTGCCCCCATCCCTGCACCCCCTCTCCATCCAGGAAGAATGGGACTCCCGAGCCTCAAGGCTCAGAGATCACTTAGAACAGTCCCACCCTACTATATACAAGAATCTCCTAGGACCCCCGGGGACTCCCATCCCCCATCCCCTCCTAGCCCGGCCAGCGGAACCAGGAGGGTGGGAGGCTGGTGACTGCCCCAAGTGAGCAGTAGGGAGGCAGCAAAGGGGGGTGCAAGCCCTATAATAATACATGATTCTTAGAACAGGCCTGGCTGCACCCCAATCCTGCTTGGCTCTGGAGTGACCCCTCTCTGAAGACAAGGTCTCTCCTCAGTGAGTGAGACAGAGACTTCATGATTAATTTGTTAACAAGGGTTCAGGTCAGGTCCAGAGAGGGGCGCAGGGAATGGGGCACTGCAAGGGAGGAGGAACCCTTCCTCCCTCCAGCAGCCTCTCTTCCTGCCTCTCCTGCTCCCCAAGAGCAGACACACTACCCTGACTCACCCCCTCCCACCACCAGAAAATCCAGCCCCTAAACTGCTCCCTAAATGTAATGCCCAAAGATGATAAAGGTGGAGGTTTGACCCTTTATGTACCCCAGTATTAGTCCCCTCTTCAAATATTCACTGAGAACAGGGATACATTCTATCAAGAATTTGAGGTGTTTCTTTGGAGGAGGAGAAAAGTGGGCCTCCGAATGACAAAGAGCAACTGAGGGGACCATCAAAATGTTTTTTCCCTCTGCCTCTCCCCAGGGGGATAGTGTCTCCAAAGCTGGGCTGGGTGGAGCAGGAAGGAGAGGCGAGAAGGGAAGAAAGAGGAAGAGCAAGACAAGGGCTGGTTGTGACAGCCGGCAAGGGGAAGCAGAGAGAAGAGCTGGAGGAGAGAGCAAAGGAGAGAGGAAAACCCAAAGGGATGGAGGATGGCGAGGAGAGAGTGGAGGGAAGGCGGAGGAGCACCCCTCTCCAGATTCCCCTAGCCCAGCTTTGTGGGGAGCGGCGAGTTCTGAGCCCTTCATTGATTGACATACTTCCTCCCCTTCCCCCTCAGAAAATCTATTCAGACTCCTGAAAGGGCCCCAACCCCCTCAGACTGCTGGAAGCCCAGAACAAATCCCCAAACAGAATACAAGGTGGTGGAGGGTCTAAAGGGTCGTGGTTGGAGGTCAGAGGTCAGGACCAGAGGCTTGGGGATTGTTGGAGCACCTCTAGATACAGATGGTAATTCTCCCTCTCCCGTTCCCCGTCCCCTCCCTAGAGGAAGGGGTAGTGTGAGTTGGGCGGGCAGGGAGTCAGGATGCCTTAGCGGCCACCTCTGGCAAAACAAAAGTTTCTCTTAGCTGCTTCCGGATTGAAGGGTGTGTTGAGGTATCAGAGTTGTAACTCTAGTAAAATTTCCGGCCTGGCCCCCCTCCCAACCTTTCCAGGACAGGGGGACCAGGGGCTCTGAAAGCGGCCCAGCCCTCCAGCCACCACCGCCTCCCCTCCCCCCTCCCCAGCAAGCGAGTATCTAAGCACCTTGCCCCTCAAATCACTGATTTGCAAAAGGCCCCAGTGGAAAACAGCTCCAGGAAGGGCCCCTGGGGAGCGGCCCCAGGAGGCCAGGGGCCAGGGGCTTAGGAAAATATTCGAATGGCTTGCGTGGCTGTGATGTGGCAGACGGGACACTCCGGGTCCGTCCTCTCACAGATGCGTACTGCACACTCCATGCAGAACAGGTTGTGTCCGCAGGGCACCAGGGCGGCAGTCACCTCACTCTCGAAGCACACCATGCAATCCCGCCCGCCGCCGGGGCTCCGCAGGCCGCCCCCCCCAAGTTTAGAGAAGCCCTGGAGCGGCTCTCCCGGCGGGCGTCTCGGGAGTCCGGCCAGCTCGGGCCCCGCGGAGGCGGCAGGAGAGCGATGCGCTCCCGGGGGCCCAGCGCGGGCCTTGGCGGAAGAGGAGGAGGAGGAAGAGGCGGAAGAGAAGAGCACCGAGGTGGGCGTGGCGTTCTCCTGGCCCGCCCAGAGCGGGGGGCTAGTCTCGGCCACTCCGTAGTACACGTCCTGCTTGCCCACGCCATAGCCAGGGAACAGGTACCCGCCATAGCCAAAGTCCCCTCCCTGCTCGCCGAGGCGCGGGGCCTCAAAGCCAGAGTCCACTCCGCACTCGCCGATGCAGCCCAGGCTGTTCTGCCGGAAGGTGGAGAGGGGCTTGCAGCCGGAAGGGTGCACCCGCCAGGCCTCAGAGTAGCGGCTATCCAGCGCGGCGTCGGGGCTCCCCGCCAGGAAGTCGTTTTCATTGTTGTACTCGAGGATCTTGCCTGTGCGGACCGCGATGTGCGTTTCGATCTCCTCGCGCGCACGCTCCACGTTCCCCGGGGCACCGGTGATCTCGAACACCGGGTCGCGGTCCCGGCTTGGCGTGATAATGTACGTGTTGGTCTGCTGCTGGATGCGTTTGATGGTTGCCCCCTTGGGGCCCACCACCAGTCCCACCACGCGATAGGGCACCCGCACACGAATTGTCACTTGGCCGGGCAGAGCAGGCGCCACTCCAAAGGCGGCGCCGGACTTGTTGCGTGAGGCGCGGATCATGGAGAAGTGCTCGGCCGCTGAGATGATTTCCCGGCGGGCTGTGGCCACGTCCTCCCGCCGCCCAGTCACCATGAACACTGGCTCCTCGCCTCGAACGGGCGTCTTGATGTAGGTGTTGGTCTTGGCCCTCAGAGCCTTAATCTTGCAGCCTGGGATAGGGATGGGAAGAGAGAAATAAACTCACAAGGCAAGAAGGTTTGTGCTGGAGCCAACAAGCTCCTGCTCCTACTCTGATACCCAGCCCACCAGGAACCTCTGTCTACCCTTAGGGAAATCCCCCCCCCCAACTCTAACCAGAACAATTTACTTACTGTATCTTAAATCTATCCAATGTATCTATCAGCCACAGACTGCAAAATGTCACAACTTTCCCTTGAATTCCATATAGGACCTCCAAATTCATGCACTCCTTGAAATTCTGAAATAATCACTGACCTTCCCAGACAAGCTGCTAACCTACTCACTAACTCCTCGACAACCATTAGCTGTTTCCCCCAATTTCTCCACTGATTTCTGGCTACTCACAAACTTCCAAATCGCTCAATCACCTGCCCTGCCCTGCAACTGTGATCTCCAGTCTGTCACTGACCCCGATCTTGCCTCAGAAGCCTACAGTCTACTCCTCACTTGATCTCCATGCATTAGAAGTATCTTCCAGTCTACACTGGGACGACTGACCCACATCTGCTCCCATGCCTTCCACCCATTAGTGTCTCAGCTGGTCCCAAATTCACAGCAAGTTTTCAGCAACTCATGGAGTGTGGGAGGTCGGGAAGGGTCTGAGAATCCGTTTTAGGAAGGAAAGGAGAATAATGATGTGTGAGGGACACAGTGCCTGACCTCATGGACACTCCTACCACCCTGTCCCCTGGCGCAGGAGAGCCAAGATGGGCTGCGGGCTGAGTTGGGTGGGGGAGAAGGTGTTCTAGACCCATACTCCTGCATTGAAGAAGGAGAGGGTAAAAGCTGAGAGGCTGGGGAGAGAGGCAGGAAGAGAAAGGAGAATGGCCCAGACAAAGAGAGACAAAGAGGGAGAAGGGGAAGGAGGAAAGTGAGGGAGGCTGGGATGGCCAGACTGCAGTCTAAAGGTGGCGGACCTTGACGGCTGACTGGACAAACCTCTCTCCTCCTTTTCCAATTCCCTATCCCTGCCCCTATCTTCACACAGAACCTCAGAGACTCACATGTTTTCTCAAAGCACACATGCTACATGTGTGTGTTTGTACATGCACACACAGACACGGACCTAGGAGCCGCTATGCAGCTTACCTTTTTCTAAATGTTATTTGTGGTGCAAGTCTAATGCACACTTTCACATACCCCCCTCTCCCTTATACACATGGATTCCCTGTGTTTCACCCTTTCATCCAGCCCACTCTTCCATCCCCATCATTCCCAGGACACATGCAGCACATTCCTATACACCCCTGCCCACAACTGTTGCCCCCATTCACATTTAGACATTCATACCCGTCTCCATATACACATTCACAGTTCCCTTTCTCACTCCCCAACCAATGCCAGTGGTCCTAGTTTTCTGACTCTGCCTAACCCTCCAACCATAGGCCTGAGGTGAGCTCATCTTTTTTTCCCTCTCCTTCCTCCACTCCAGATGGCTTCTTCTCCAAACCTACCAGATTGGCACGTGGGAGGAGAGAGTGGGTTGGGGGCAGCTCTCCTCACCTTCAAGAGACCTTAGGAAGGAGAATTTGCTCCTCCCTTTTTGTCTTCAGACCTCTTGGCAGTTGAGAAGTCCTACCTGTTGTCAAGCCCACATCCTTGCTGCTTTAATGTCAGTAAATGATTGCTCTGTTTGGGAGGCCCGGGGGCGCGGGGGAAGGAACAGTGAAGACCCTTCTCCTAAACTTCTAATTGCATGGCATCTGATAGGCACCTGGGTTCTGGCTCTAAGTTTTGGGCCCCTAAACTTACATGAGAGCTGTTATAGGTGTCTTTGGGGACTGGAATTGGGGTGAGGAGAACAGGCCAGGTATAAAAGTAAGGAGAAAAGCTAGAGGCCTAGAGATGCAGAACTGGTAGCGGATCTGGTCCTGTGTTTCCCAACCCTGATGAAGCATCTCTTGAAGGGAAGACCCACTTAGCTTCACCTTCCTAGAGGTCAAATAGAGCAGCCTTGACACCACAACAGGAAAAGGGAGGTTAGACAAGAGAAAGGACTTCCATTTCCTTAAGGAGTGAGGGGGAGGCTTGTCTCCTCTGAATAGGAGAAATCCCCCTACTTTTATGAGAGACAGGCCCATCTGATGCGGAGGCAGGAGAGGAAAGAATGACTCCATGAAATTCCGGGGCCTCCCAAGACCACCCCCGCACCCAAGAAAAGATAACAGTGTCCCCACCCGATTCCAGGGCTCTGGGTCCCTAGTTTCTGACAACAAGAGGAAATCCAACTTTTAAAACCAGAAATCTCAAGAGATGGGGTGCCCCAGGGGGATGAGGGCTACGCCGGGGAGTGGCATCTTCCCCTCCTCCATTCTGGATCTCCCAGCAAAATCCCCCCAACCCCCCACACTTCGGGTAGACGAGGTGTGATGTGGAGTAGGGGCCCCCCTGACTTGCCTCCCCTCTTCCCCAGCCAGCAGCCGGCCTCCTCCTTCACTCCCAGCCGGAATGCAGCTCCTCTATTGTTCCCCACTGTGGGACAGCTCCTCCCCTGCTCCTCCCCCACCCCACACCTCCCCAGTCCAGCCCCCTTGCAATTTCCAAATCCCGCCCCCCCACACACACTCCCCTTTGGGAAACTGGGAGAGGGAAGGGTCCCCAGGATCCTGTCTGCTCAGTCTGGACCCTTACCAACATTTCCACCCCCACCCGCCCAGGGATGCTGGAGCAGAGGAGGGTGTGGTATCAGACACTCTACATTGGATTAATTCTGTACCCACCCCCCCGCTCCCCAACAACACACCCAGACCCATGCCCTCCACCAAATCTCCAGGTGAAGATTCCTCACCCCTCAGCACGCCCCTTCCCACCCTGTCCTACTCTCTCACTACCAGAGACCCCTCTCCAGGCCTCTGGCCCCTTGCCGTGGCCAGCCCAGAACAAAAGCCTGAGAGGGAGGAGAAGAGGTCCACACCGGGACGTGGCACTTCGTTGGAGGCACCCCTTCCAAAATCCCATAGACCATCCAACTTTGGTGTGTGGGTGACCACAGGACTCCCTCCTCCCAGCAGCCCCCCTTCCCCACCTCACCCCCAGGCTGGGACCCTCCCATGAGCCACACCCCCTTCCATTCCTACACTCAGCCCAACAAAGAGACAGATACTCAGTCTGCCTTCCCGGGCCAGGTCTCCCCCAAAGTCTGTAACTCCAGGTGGCTGGGGGTCCCAGGGGTGCCCCCTCCCCAAACCACTAGCAGATGCCATAGTTGGGGCTCCTGAGTAACTCTTTTGCACATTCGGCCAGTTTTTCCGGCTACGAGTGGACACCCCCTCCGGAGAGCCTCCCCGGATTGGAAAACCGATCCCCCTCCCTTTTCCCTCTCTCGGAGAGAGGATATTTCTTTGTCTAAGGGCAGAGCCCTAGGGAAGGAAGGATCTGGAGGACAGTTCCAACTAGGGGGGTAGCAGGGAACTTTGAGGCACTTCGAAATCAGGGTAGGGGGCGGGTCCCCCTTTGTGGGGAAGGGACTGAGCCAGAGGCGGGCAAGGAGGGAGGAAGTGAACTTTCCGAGCTAGGGATGGGGTGCCCCCCAACTCCAGTCCCTCTCCGCGGTCCCGGCGCCCGCTTACCTTGCCTGCCCACGATCTCTGCCACGTGCTCGGAGGTGGGCACTGGTACACACTCGGTGGTGTTGCTGCTGCCCTTCAGGCGCAGCTCGGCCTCTTTGTAGAGAGCGCAGAGCTTGGCGTCGCTGGCCCCTTTGGGGGCGGTGGGGGGCTGGGGCGTCTGCGCCGCGGGGGCCGCCGTCGGGGCGGCAGGAGCAGGGTTCCCCCCGCAGGGAGGGGGGAACAAAGAACTGGGGAGGGGGGAAGAAAGCGAGATAGAAAGATAGACCCTCCCTCTAAGCCCCCCTCCCCAAACACCCTGTAACCCGACTCCCCTCGCCCCAGCCCCCGGGGTGGGGGTGGGGGGATAGAGAAGCAAAACCGGGAAAGCAGATCTCCTCTCCTCTCCGGGGGTGACGGGGGGGGCGGGGGGCTGCGGGATCTCTGCCCCCACCCCTCCCGCCTCGGTCCCGGGAGTCTCTAGACCCCACCGTCCAGACGCCCCCCTTAGGCTCCCGCACCGAGCCCCAGTCCAGGAGCGGCGCTCAGTGGCCCCCAATAGAGCCCAGCCCCTTCCAGCGCTCAAACTCTTTTGTTTTAAATGAACTGGATGGAGCAGCATGGAACTGACGGGAGGGGGGCGCGCCGGGGGCGCCCGGGGCATGCCGGGAGTTGTAGTTTCCCGCCCTCGGGGGCGCGGGGACGAATTCCTTGACCCGAGGAAGATAGGGATGTGCCTTCGGTCTTTACCCGCTGCTGGGAGGCAAAGCTGGGGGTGGGAAGGCGATCGAGGTCCCTCATTTTTAAAGAGGAAAGGAGTCAGTGTACAGAAACGGAACGGGTTGAAAACAGGCTAATGGAGTGTGTTCCCCTCCCAAAACGGGCTCCATCGCGATCCTGGCCAGTGTTAGGTCCCTCTTTCTTATGGTAATGAGGCGGGGGGATGAGGGCGGGGAGCTGTCCCGGCTGGGTCACTGCGGCTTTCTCTCCCTTTCTCTCCCCTCTTCCCCCTCCCTGCCGCGCTCCCTCTCCGCTCTCCGCTCCCCCCTCCCGTTCTCCCAGAGTCGATCCCGGCTCCCGGCCGCGGGCAGAGGTTCTCCGCAGAGCAGACAAAGCCCGCAGCGGCGATGCTTGGAGAACACGGCTCTGCGCGCTGGGGGGTGAGGGTGGGGGGCCGGGATGGGGTGCCGGGTTGGAGGGTGGGACCCCCTGGCAAAAGACGGGGTCCCCTCTTCCCCAAGCGGCAAGCCATCCCCCTTCCTCCCTTCCCTCCCCCCAGTTTCGGAGATCAGAGAAGCACCGACTGGGAGGTGAGTTAGTTAACATCCTTCTGATCAGTGGAGGGGAGCTGGGAGGGCTGTGGGGAAATGAGGTGAGGAGGATGAAGGGGTGGAGAGAGGTAGGGGACCGAGAGAGGGGAGGCAAGGGAAGTCTTAAAGGCATGATAGGAGTTAACAGCTTCGGGTGAGAGCCACGAGCTTTGGGTGCGACGGAAGGAGGAAAGAAGACACCGGGTGGAATGGAGACCCAGACTTCCTCAGGCCCGGGCCATCCGTTTAGCTTGGGGGTGCTCTGTTCTTTAGCCATCCCCATCATTCCACTTTGCCTCACCCACCTCTCCCGCACTGAAAACCCACTGATTCTGCTCCTTTGATTCTGGAAATTTGGTGAAAGTACAAATCAGTTTTTAAGCCATGAATTGGAGAGCTGGGTATTTTTAGGGGAGTTTGTGGAAGTTGGGGTGTAATGCAATCTTTTCTTCTTCCCTTATCCCATAGCTTTGGCATTTCTTTTGTCACTCTTTTTATGCCTGGGTCTTTCCCGGGAGGAGAAAGGATGGCGCCGCAACCTGAGGGCTTGAGGACAGACTTTTAAGAAGAACTTCCCAAAAGAGTTTGATAAGAATGGGTGGGTGTTCTTTTCTGGAGTGCCTTGGAAACCAAAAATCTGAGCTGGTTTGTGAGGTAACGTCCTGCTTGAAGGCGGGGGAATGGGAGGACGGAGGAGATGACCTCATAGACCAGGCACTGTGAGGCCGTGAGGGCTGAGCTGTGAAGCCCAGTTCCCTAAATTGATTCTTGGAAAGAGTAAATTTGCACACCAAGGGGAGGGTGGGAGATGGGGTGGAGGATCTCAGGAGGGCTTGGGAGTTGGCTTACTGTGGGTCTCTTGCTTTGCCGGGCGAAGATCCAGGGAAGGGAAGCCATGACAGAGAAACCCTGGAAGGCCCCAGAATTGGGGATGAGATGCCCTCTGGACCAAGGATTTAACAAAGTTAGCAACAAACCTTTTTGTGGGATTGAGTGCTCCCGCCTCTAAGCAAGAGTGAGAGAGGAAGAATTGGAGAGATGAGAGCTTTTGAGAGTGGCTGTTCCCTGCTCTTGTCCACTCTCCCACCCCGGGAACCCAGGTTGGGGGACCTGGGAACCGTGGGGAAGCCTCCTGCTCCGTGGACCAGGTGACTGTTTTTCACATTATCAGAAATCGCAGACAGTTGTGTAGGTCTGACTGTGTGCCAGGCATTTTTGTCACCAGCTGGTTGAAGCCTTCCTGTCTCCACCAAAATGAGATTCCCCCTAGACACCCACTCCTGAATTTCCCCTGCTCCCACTTTTCTCCCCACTAAGCTAATTAAAGCAGGAGGTTAATGACCAAAGAAGCCCTTGGGGATTTGGCCAGAGAGGAAAACAAAGAACAGAAACGAGGGTATGTGAGCCGGGAGGGGACAGCTGCTGAATGCAAAGGCGTGGCCTAAAGGACAGGGGTAAAGGAAGGAGCAGTCCCTGCTGGACCCCCTCTCACTGATCCAACAAGGGCTAATCAGCCCCCCAGGGTGTGTTCATGTGCCATGGGTCCACCCTCAGGATCCCATGGACTCCAAATATCCAAGGCAAGAGAGGCACTTGGCACCTGGAGGGCAGACTGTGTGTGAACACACTTAGGTCTGGGGCACGGGTGTACAACCAGAGGTGTGTGCCTCCAAATTGTGTGGGGGTACATTCACCTACAGGTGACCTGCCAGAGTGCCCAGCAGCAGAGGGGTGTGGGGCGTGCACCTTGAGGAGGGAGGGGTTTGTTGTTATTTGGCTGAGGGGCTTGTGAGAACTTAGTTCCCTGACCAGGAATCAAACCTGTGCCCTTGACAGTGAAAGCTCAAGTCCTAACCAGTGGACCGCCAGGGGGTTCCCTATTCTGAAGTCTTTAAATAACTTATTTGATGAGTCCTTTGGTGGCTTAGATGGTAAAGTGTCTACCTACAATGCGGGAGACCCGGGTTCAATCCCTGAGTTGGGAAGATCCCCTGGAGAAGGAAATGGCAACCCACTCCAGTGTTCTTGCCTGGAGAATCCCATGGACAGAGGAGCCTGGTGGGCTACAATCCATGGGTCGCAAAGAGCCGGACACGACTGATCGACTTCACTTTTGAAATGGCAACCCACTCCAGTATTCTTGCCTGGAGAAGCCCATGGACAGAGATGCCTGGCAGGCTACAGTCCATAGGGTTGCAAAGAGTTGGATGCGACTGAGCGACTAAAACTTCCACTTTCTTTCTTTCCTCACTTCTAGAAGTGGGTGGCCTCCTTTATTCAGGGGACTCCCCTCATCCACTGACACGTTGGCCAAGCTCTCATTTTCTTCTCCCTCCGCCTTCCCAGTCTATTTATTATATTATTATTATTTTCAGGTCGGGTGGGGGCTGCGCTGGATCTTCATTGCTGCTCATGGGCTCTCTCTAGCTGTGATAAACGGGGGCTGCTCTTCGTTGCAGTGCCCAAGCTTCTCATTGCAGTGACTTCTCATGTTGGGGAGCGCCAGCGGGTTTCAGTAGGTGCAGCTCGCAGGCTTGGTGTTTGCAGTCCTAGAGCGCGAGCTCAGAAGTTGTGGCGCATGACCATAGTTGCTCTGTGGATGTGGAATCTTCCCAGACCAGGAGTCAAACCCGTGTCCCCTGCATTGGCAGGTGGATTCTTACCCACTGTGCACCAGGGAAGTCCCTGCCTACTCAATCTAGAATTATGGCCATGAGGACTGAAGACCTTACTTAAACATGTTGCTTAGAAATAGATAGCTATGCCCACCCCTCCCCATCCTTCGCTCTGCCTATGACCGGAAAGGTGGGGAGGCGGCGTGTCTCCCCTTCCGGACCTTGGAGGACAGGACTGTGTTGTCAGTGTATCCCACCCTGGTCCCCAGTGTCCAGCACACAGCCCTGCTCAGAGCAGAAACCCTGTAAGGGTGTGGTTGGTGAAGCTGTATGTCCCAAGCATCCTGCTGTGAGAGGAAGGAGGTGGTCTCTGGAGCCAAACATGCTGCTTGTTAGTTCTGCTGCTTCTTTGTTTATTTGTTGGGTTTTGGCTGCACTGGGCCTTCGTTGTGCACACGGGCTTTCTCTAGTCGCGGTGAGCGCGGGCTACTCTACTTGCAGTCTGCGGGCTTCTCACTGCAGTGGCTTCTCTTGTTGTGGAGCATAGGCTTTAGGTGCAAAGGCTTCAGTAACTGCAGCACCCGGGCTCCGTAGTTGTGGCTCGAGGGCTTAAGAGTGCAGGCTCAGTAGTTGCAGCACACCGGCTTAGATGCTCCATGGCATCTGGAATCTTTACGGACCAGAGGTCGAACCCATGTCCCCTGCATTGGCAGGTGAATTCTTATCCACTGCACCACCAGGGAAGCATAACACCACCCTGTTATGCTTCTTGAGCAGCTTCGATTTCCTCATCTTTCAAGTGGAAATAATAAGCCAAGTTCCTAGCACAGTGTCTGGCTCATTTTAGATGTTCAATCAATGTTAGTTTTGGGGCCCTGGTTGTTTTCTGCTGGCAATTGACTTTAGCTAGACTGTGGTCTTCGTTAATTAATTTTAATGCATTCATTCAGCTAACTACTTCCTATTGAGTTCTTAGGACGTGCCAGGCACTGGAGGATATCCTGACCCACTGTGAGTCACCTGAAGTCAGTTCTGGATCTAGACTTGCAGAAATAAGATCATCCCAAACAAACAAACAGAGAGATCCAAACATAATTCCTGTTGAGCCCTGGAATGCAGGCGAACTCTGTATGTCTCTAACACACACACAGCCTCAGGCCTGAGGAACAGAGGCCCCTGTGGAGTTGTTGAGTTGGCAATGTAAGCATGTGTGTCTATGTGCAAGTTGTATATGTGTGGGTGGGGATGTGTACTCACAGGTCTGGATGCAAGGCAGGAAAGGTGACCTAGTTGAGAGTGGGGTGGGCCAGAACTCCAGTGGAGGCTGGAGGACAGGAGTGGGGTGGATGATCCGGACTGTGCTTATCTCTGCGTTTATGTCCCTCCTCTTCTTCTAGCAAAATTGGGCACCAGTTATTGCTGTCCAGGCACCAGGTATCAAGGGCTGGGGTGCAAAGCTAATGCCCGCCCCTCCCTTGTCCTATTCTCAGAGCCCCTAGGGAGGGGGCAGACACAGGAGGCCACCCCAAGGCTACCCTTCTAAGCTGGTTGGTCCTTATGGAGGTTATCTCACCTGTGTCCCTTCTGCTCTTGAGAAGCCATCTCCATCTGTCCTACTGAACCTCCTCTACTAAACTTTTCGACTCTGGGGTCAGACAAATCTGGCTTTGAACACTGGAGTGTCCATTTACCAGTTGTGTGACCTAAACAAGTTACCTAATCTCTCTGAGTTTTAGGTCCCTGATGCTAAGCAGAGATGGCAATTCTAGTCTCTGGGGGTTTTGTTTTCTTTTCTTAATACTCCTCCCTTATGGGAAGTCTGCCTTGTGATCTAACATCATCCTTCCTGCTGAGAGTGCAGCCAATATTCCCTCTGTTGGGCGTATTGCTCAAATACACCCAACTCATTAATTTCCATCAGTGAGAATGTATTGGGTAAAATTCTGTTGAAGACACACAAAAGAAATGACAGACTTGCTCTCTGCCCACAGAAAGACACAGAAACTAGCCTATCTGACCCACAGAACATGGCCAAACAGGAATAAATGTGAGGGCAAAACAGTCTTTGGGACTTGGAAGGCTGCAGAGTTTGGAGGAGAGAGGAGGCTACTCTGGGTCCTCCCCTGTGGACCCAGTCTCCAAGGGCTTTGCCGCCCAGCCTGAGGTTTGGACATGGACAGACAAACTCCTCTTTGTTCCTCCTCCAGTACCACTCCGGAACTCCCCCCAGCAGGTCACCTGCCCTCTCTGATTTCCCCAGGGAGAGCAGCTCAGAGGGGCTGGGGCACAGCTAGGGTCCCCCAGGACAGCTGGCTGATGGAGCCCCACTGGGATTCCGGGCCGGACCCAGGCATCCCAGAGGCGGGTGATACTGGAGCTGTGACAGTTGGTCCCCAGATTCCTCACCCAGTGGCGCCAGCTCTGGTTTCTCAGGCTGGGGGGGAGGGGGCACCTGGTGCCAGGCAGGGCTGGGTGTTCTCTTGGGGCAGGGAAGGGAAGGCAGGAAACATGTTCTTGGTAGGGAAGGATTTTCTCCAGTATCCTCAGCCAGGCACTGTGCTGGATACTGACAGGTTGATACTGAAGCATGAGACACCATCTGGCACAGGTGAGTGAATGGATATAAAAGACACACTCACTGTTTAGAATGTCTAGAAAATGAATGAATGAGTGAGTGAGGAAATGAATGAATAGATTTAGCAGTTGTCTCATGGCCTTATTTTACAGAGAGCAAGAAGACCAAGGCCCAGAGAACCCAGGTCCTGTGACTCTTGTGCCTTCTATTTCATCATGCTTCCTTTTTCAGGAAAGGGAAGAGGAAGTTAGAAAGGGGTGGGAAGGGACTTTCTATTTCCCGAGTTTCCTTATTGCTAGGCTCTCTTATTTCCATTTACAGACTTGATCTCATTTCTTGATCTCATTTAATCCTCTTCACAACCCTGTGAGACTGGAATTGCCATATCTGCTTAGCATCAGGGACCTAAGGCTCGGAGAGATTAGGTAACTTGCTCAGGTCACACAGCTGGTAAATGGACACTCCAGTGTTCAAAGCCAGATTTGTCTGACCCCAGACCTAAGAACCCAGAGGTCAACAGTGATACCCAGTGAGTAGTCTGGAGGCCGAGGAGAGTGATCACTGACCAGAAGAGGCTTCCTGCATGAAGTGGACCTGGAGTCCCTGAGGATGAGAGAGGTTCATTCAAAGCGAAAGGACTGGAGGGGTGACTGAAGGCTGATGCCAGAGATACTCAGGAGTCTTGCAAGCTGGAGTAGTGGCCGGCTTGCCTGGATTCTGAGCAGCCAGGGACAGGGGGAGGAAAAGCGCCTTTGAACTTTGGCCACGAGGTGGCGCTGCAGGCCAGCCACCAGGAGTGACTCCAGGGTGGGCTTGGACACCAGGGCCCAGAGGTTTCTTCCCTGCCCAAGCTAGGGCTCCAGCCCAATCCTGCCTCCTCAGGTGTCATCTCCAGCTTCCACTTCGCCCTTTTCTGGCAGGGCATCTAACACACGGGAGACAAGGTTACCAGTCTGATGAAAAAGCCAGGTGGCCACGACCTGGGCATCCACATGGTCTGACCAGCTCCCCAGGTCATCCTGAGCCCTACAGCTGCTTAAGACTGGTTCACGTCCAGGTGACCTTCTGAGTCCCTGGAAGACACTGTTCGGGCCAGGCTAACCAGACATTTGAGTGCCACTGACTTGGATCCGAAGGGGAATAATAATAAAACTGATCTATAAGGAGTTATAAATTTTCATTTAATAAATACATATTTAACATTTGTTGTGTCAGGCACTGTTCCAGCTGCCTGGAGATATCACTGAACTAGACAGACAAGGTCCTTACTCTCATGGAGCTGATATTCTGTGGGAGAGGAGAGATAGAGAATAAACAAGTAAATCATGTAATTTCTGGTAGTGGTAATCACTGTGAAGAAAAACAAAGCAGGATATGGGGGTAGAAGGGTGAGGTGGTTAATTTAGGAAGGATGGTCATGTTGTGAGAATTTAACTGGACATGTATACCAGCACAGTGCCTGGTACTGACTTAGCAGTGGTTACTATTATCTTGTTCCCTTTGCTTCCATTCCTCTCCATAGCCATGTTCCTCTTCCTCTGTCCCACATTCTCCCCGCCTTCTCCCAGCAGTCCCCCCAGGGAAAACAGGTGCTGGCTTGGAATCAGGAGTCCTGAGTTTTTAGTCCTGGCTCTGTGACAACAGTCCAAACCTGCTTCCCCGTCCCCTGCTTCTGGTAAATGACATTACCCTCCACCTGGTGGCTCAAGCCATCTATGATTCCTGTCTTTTCCCTAATTCCTCCCATCTAATCCATCAACAAGTTCTGTCAACTGCACCTCAAAACATTTCCCAAATCCATCAGCGGCTGCTGCTACCCTCCTCATCCAAGCCATCATCCTTTCCTGTCTGCAGTAATCTCTTACTGGTCTCTCTTCTCCACTCTTGTCTCCCCTGTCCCTTCAATCCATTCTCCACAAGGTGGCCAGAGAGATCATTAAAAAAAAAAAAAAAAATCTGATCATGAAACTCTTCTTCTTAAAACCCTTTTTTAGCTCCCTATTGTCATTAGATCCGAGGCCAAACTCCTTAGTATGGTTTGTGCTGCGCTGTGCTCGGTCGGGTCCAACTCTTTGCATCCCATCAACTGGAGCCCACTCGGTCCTCTGTCCATGGGATTCTCCAGGCAGGAATACTGAAGTGGGTTGCCATTTCTTTCTGCAGGGTATCTTCCCAACCCAGGGATCGAACCAGTATCTCTTGTTTCACAGCATGTGGAATCCTACCGAATTGGGGATTGGACTCGTGTCTCCTGGATTGGCAGGCAGACTTACCTTAGAACTGAGACACCTGGGAAGCCCTCAGCTGCTTTACTTAAAAACCTTTTTTTTTTTTTTTTTCTCTATACAGCACGTGGGATCTTAGTTTTCTGACCAGGGATTGAACCTGTACCCCCTGCATTGGAAACACAGAGATTTAACCACTGGACCACTAGTTTAACCACTAAGTTCCTCCCTAGTGTGTTTCAGAATGTCCTTCACTATTCCTCCCTCTGCCCAGCAGTTCAGCTGCTCCTGCCCTTCCTCCCTCCACCCCAGCCACACGGCCCTCTTTCAGGGCTTTCAGCACACCTTGTTCTGCCTGTCATCCAGCTTTGGCCTGGGCTGTCCCATCTACTGTTCCCTCACACTTCACCTGGCTCATGCTGGTTCATCTTGCAGGACTCAAATTACATGTTATTTTCCCCGGGAAATCTCCCCTGGACATTTTTGGGGACCTCTTACCATTCATCACACTATATTGTAACTGTCCATCTAGAGTTCTGTCTTCCCAGTACCTGGGAGCCACTTGAAGACTGACGGGCTCTAGTCCACTCTTGTATTCCCAGCACCTGTGCCTGGCACACAGTAAGTGCTTAATGTTTGTTGCTTAGAAGCTGTGCGTGCTCATCCATACTTTCCTCTTGAACAGCCTCTGGCCCCCACACCCCACCAAATATTCATCTTCTCCCTCTGCTCTTCCATCATACCCCCCACCCTCCACACCCAACTGCCTCTCTCCCCTGCTCTCCCCACCCCCAACCCGGGCCCTCACAGACATTTCTTACCTGATCTCCTAGGGGGTGCTGTTTGCATGATGCTTCATATATACCCCTCCCTGGATTCCTCCTCTCCCCAGTGCCTAGTCTGGAACTCATACCCAGCAGGAGCTCAATAATGGTGCTAATTCACTGGTGTGACTTCTGACTGATGGCTCAGAAGGGGTCTAAGCAGTATACCCTGCCCCTCAGTTGCTCCTGGTAAAAGGAGTCTTGGACCTAGGGTCCTTGAGAGTAGGAAGAAGTACCCACAGGTCATGTGCTCCCGCCAGGCCCTCCCCCTGGGCCCTCTCTCCTGCTACACCTTTGCAGATGCTGTTCTCTCTGCCTCCAACCTTCTCGTCCCCATCGCCTTGTCTGTCTCCCACTCATCCTTCAGAGCTTAGCTCAGGAGTCCTGTCCTCCAAGAGGCCTTCCTGACCATGCTGATGGACGCTGGTGCTCCTCCTGTCTGCCGTGGCTCTGGTACCTGTCCCTTTTGTGGTGATCAGCCCTCAGCACCATGCCATCACAGCCAGTGAGCATGTTCTGTACGCTAGTCCAGACTTCAGGTGCCCCTGGGACGAGGGACATGTCTCCACAAAGTCTAGCGGGGGGGGGCACTCAATAAACCTTTGTTAAGCAAATGATAAATGAACAAGTGGAAGAAAATTACTCTATGATACTGAAAAAGTCCCTCCCCATCCTTGGGCCTCAGTTTCCTCTTCTGTAAAGCAGGGGCAGGAGAAGGTAGACAGAGATGTACTTGCACAAGTTTAATCACAGGGGTGCGGTGAGGGGAAGCCCTGGTTGGCGGCAGTTGTCAATTTCCAGGGTGTAAATTCTCTCACCATGGCTGATTTCAGTGTGAGCAAGGTCTGTTACCAACGGGTACAGGCCACCTTGTACTACCAGTGGGACTACAGGTGGGCTGGCTTGGGCTAAAGGGCCTTCCAGGCACTTTCTTGTTTTAACATCCTTGCATAAGGCCCCCCTCCAGAGCCTGAGGGGGGCCAGGCTGCTCCCCAGTTGTGTCCAGTTTGGGACTTGGCCAGTTGTACCCAAGTTGCCAGTTATACCTTTGGCTAAGTCACTTCAGTCGGGTCTCTTTTGCAACCCCATGGACTGTAGCCCACCAGGCTCCTCTGTCCATGGAATTCTCCAGGCAAGAATACTGGAGAGGGTTGCCATTTCCTCCTCCAGGGGATCTTCCCGACCCGGGGATCGAACCCGTGTCTCATATCTCCTGCATTGGCAGGCAGGTTCTTTACTAGTAGCGCCATGTGGGAAGCCAGTTCTACCCTTATTACCACCCTTTTACCAGTTTTCTTGAGGTACTTCCTTGACCTTCCCGGTAGTAACTCTACCTGTCTCTCCCAGACAGCCTTCCCAGACCACTCCAGGCCTGTTGGTCGGCCCAAGCCCTGACGTCAGACCTGTGCAGAGGGATTACCTGCCCTGCTCTCCAGGTGTTTCCGGCCCCACCTTCCCACATTCACCGTCTCCCTCAGAGCAGGGGCTGAGTCCAGCCTCAGCTCGACCACTGACCTCTGACCCTGCTGGTCCCTTCTTCCTTCTCCAAATGCTTTGTTTCATCCCTGACTTTTCTCCTACTTGCCTGGAGCTCTTTTTCAGTCTCCTTTGCTCATCTCCCCTCCTCTGTCCACAGGGCCGGTGGTTTCCAGGCCTGTCGTTTCCTCCCCCGACACACACTCTGTCCTGCCTTTCTGCCCAGCTGTTCAAGCGGGAGCCCGTTGTGTGGATGTTCTCCACACCTGGGCTACAGGTAGGCAGGTGGTACTGCTGCCTGCTGCCCATGAGCCCTATGCAAATTCTTAATGTCTCTGAACTTGTTTTCCGCATGAATAAAGGGAAGATAATGGTAGCAATTACCCCATGGGTTTGTCGTGTGATTAGTGGGAAGAGGCAGGTAAAGTACTTATGTAGTGTCCAGTAGACAGAAAGTGCTTCATGAATGTTGGTGATTGTTACTCAGGACTTAGCTTAATCACCCCTGGTTAGGGACCTGGTTCTCTGCCCCTGCCTTCCAGAGCTGCATCTTTTGGGGCACTCGTGCCATTTTTATTGCTTGTTCCGCGAGGAAAAGAGCTCTCTGGGGCACACAGATGGTAAATATCTGTGAATGAAGGAACGAACGAACGATGTGGATGACTGCCCTGACGAGGCTCAGAGCCAGGGCCCTCTGCCACTCAGGACCGGCCTGGGCACGCCCACCCGCAGGGAGAAGGTGGGGCTAGTCCCCCCGGGGCCAGCAGGTGGCGCCAGTGCCCGTCAGTCTCTGCCCGCGGCCACCTCCCTTGCCCTTGCTGGTTTCACAATCCCGCGCTAAAGGAGTTTGCACTGGGCCCCCGACGTGGGAGGTGCCGGGAAGCCAGAGCCGGGGCTAACGCTCACTCATCTCTCCTGGGCAGACATTCTTCTAGGGGGTGCCCGGCCTAACCTGGCAGAGAAGGGAGTGGAGGCCACTGGGGAAAGGGGCCCTGCTTGAGGGGCTGTGGGCACAAACCAGGAAGCAGGGACGAGGTTGATAGTATCTTGGGGAGGAGAATGAGAAGCGATTCAATCAGTGAGTCAAAAGCCGAGATCTAGGAACCAGAGACAGTGTGGGGGACAATGTGGTGAAATCAATCAGTCAGAGAGGAAGGGGAGGCCCGGTTTCTATGACAATGGTAGTGTTTGCGGCAAGCTGGGGACTCCTGAGTCCCCAGGGTTGGTGAGGAGTGATTCACCACAGGAAAGGGAAAGCTTCAGAGGGACTGGGTGCTAGGCACCGGATGCCTTGTGGCTCCTTCTTGGTATTCAGCATACGCTCCCCCAACCACAGCCGCTGGACCTGTGCTCTTTCAGATGCTTCGAGGGGAAATGAGCCCTGACAAGGGGCAGGGCCCCTGCTCCTCACTGGACATGCACATCTTAGCTTTCTTCACAGTCCAACTCTCACATCCGTACATGATCACTGGAAAAACCATAGCCTTGACTAGACCTTCACAAGGATGGTTAGAGTCAGACTAGTCTAGTCTGACTCTAACCATCCTTGTGAAGATCCAGAGAGCACATCAGGGGCATGGAAGTTACAGTGTGGCTAAGATCCAGGAGGAGACAGGAGGGGACCTCCTCCATCTCCCCCAGCCTCCCTGCTTGCCCTGCCCTCTGTGAATCCAACCCTGATTGAGAGGGAGTTTGGCAAAATGTACAGCCTGATGTGAGCCAGAAACTGCATCTAGCCTGCCTCTCACCATCTTCTAAGTCCAAAGAAGCAGGCCCTAGTTCTGGCCATCCAATATACAACTTTTCGTGTATCCTGGTCCTTGGGGTAGTTGTGTATGTGTGTGTGTGTGTGTGTGTGAGAGAGAGAGAGAGAGAGAGAGAGAGACCGTGATAGTGAGAAAGGTCATCAAATTTGCCCCCTTACTTCCTGCTCCCAGCCCCTGCTAGAGCCAGGCAATTCCCAGCATTCTCTGATGGCTATCAGGACAGTTTCATTCTTTTTTTATGTTTCCAATGTATCCTTTATTATATTTATTTTTTGTTTTTCAATCTCTTGGCCATACTGCATGGCATGTGGGATCTTAGTTCCTCAACAAGGGATGGAACCCATGCCCCCTGTATTGGCAGCATGGCATCTTAGCCACTGGGCCACTAGGGAAGTCCCAGCACAGTTTCATTCTTGTCTAGCTGTGGGGCCCCCAGAATTTCAGTATGAAAGGGAGAAGTCCTGTCCCATCCCGGGGTCCTGATGACATGCAAGAAGGAGCTCTGGCTCTTCATCATCTCTTCCCTTGAAGCAGAAGGGATGGAGGTGGAAATGGCTTGGAAATCTTCCCGCCCAGTCCGCCTGTTTTGCAGATGAGAAAACCGAGGCCTGAAGAAGGGAAGCAATTTCTCCAAGGTCACAGAATAAATTAGTAGAAGAGAGAACTATATCCCCTGTCTTCTGATTCTTAAGTTCTGTGATCTCAGAAAGAACCTCTTTGAATTTGACACTGGTTCTCGGAATTGGAGTGAGGCAGAGGAACAGAGGGAAGACAGCAGAGTAAATGGAGAAACCTAACATAGTATAGGTTTGTTGTTGTTGTGTAGTCTCTAAGTTGTGTCCAACTCTTTTGAGACCCCACGGACCACAGCCTGCCAGGCTCCTCTGTCTATGGGATTTCCAGGCAAGAATACTGGAGTGGGTTGCCATTCTCTTCTTCAGGGGATCTTCCTGACCCAGGGATCAAACCTGTGTTTCCTGCATTGGTAGGTGGATTCTTAACCACTGAGCCACCAGGGAAGCCCATAGTATAGCACATGAAAAGAAGGTACACAACTCATGCCCCACCTGTCTGCCATGTGACAGCCGGAATGATAGAGGGGAGATAATCAGAAAGGTTTATCACATATGTCAGGGGGTATAGGATCTTTGGTCAAAGTGGACTGTGTGATCTTAGGCAAATCACTTACCCTCTCTGGGCCCCAGTGATGATATGGAGTGCCCTACCTCCAGGGTTTTCAGGGTGATGAATGGGATGGTCCTTATGAATTATGGGGTGACATGAATGTTGTCTGTCAGATGTCAAGGAAGGCAAGTCATGTGTGGTGGGACTGGAGACAGAGCTGCCCCCCAGTGCAGAGATGGGGGATAAGCCGAGGTGCTTGACCCTTGATCCTTAGGAGAGCAAGGAAGCCAAATGAACTTTTGACACGCTCACTATAAGCAGCAATTCTCTTCCCTGGGGGTGGGGAGAGGTGGGCAGCAGGTTCCTGCAGACCCCAGGGGTGCCCAGAGGCTGAAGGGAACTGAGCACTAATTAGCTCTAGCTCCCTAATTGGACTTAATTGCCTGCTTGTGATCAGCAATTAGGAGGCTCCATCAATTAGCACAGGGTAGGTGCCGGCTCAGCTGGGGCTGGTCAGGGCTCCTCTCCAGGAGGCAAGGAGGCAGACAGGTGGAAGGGTGGTCCCATGGGGAAGTTGCCTCACTGCCCAGGTCCTCATCACCCATCCCCTGCCCCCTCTGTGAGCGAGGGGCTGGGAGCTTCCAGGCCTCCCATCTGGACTGAGGCTTCTCTGCTCTCAGTTTACCCACTCTCACCAGCTTTCTTACTTTTCTCTCTAGAGGAGGTGGCACCTGTCTGGGCCTGGCTCTGCCACTGGCTCCTTTGCAACTCTGGGGTTGAGAATGTGCGCTTCCAAGCCAGGTCTCTGGGATCTGAATCCCAGCTCCACCACTGACTGGTGTGTGACCCTGGACCCACTGGACTTTGTTTTCTCACTCGTAAAGTGGAGCTGATAATAACAGTCCTTCCCGTGCAGGGTTACGGTGAAGATCAGGTGAATAATCCACCTGCTCTATGTAGAACAGAGCCGGGCATCATCGGCACTCAGTGTTAGCTGTCATTGTAATTCCTACTCCAAACCTCAGTTTCTCTGTTAAATGAAGACTAAAGCAGTGTTTACTGAAAAATGCCAGGGTTCCACCCTAGACGGGAGAAGGCAATGGCTCCCCACTCCAGTACTCTTGCCTGGAAAATCCCATGGATGGA